TTCCTTTACTAGATGGAGGTCGATCAACCTCCATGGATCCTGTCCTTGATTGAGCGGGCAGATCTCTGTCATCAGAGTGAGAATCCAATAACTGAGGACGTGATCGAATGATCATCCTGCTTTTAGGGGCCAAAGAAAGACCCACACGGACACCAGAGGCTGGTGACAAAGGAGGTTGACCCAGGCAGTCACTGGAAGGAATAGTGGGGACAGAGATTGGAGTGGACGTAGACCTATCAACTGTATTATCCATGGAGGGCAGAAAACCCCTCACATGGCATGAAAAAGACTCAGATGGAGGCATGGAAAGGTCCATCTGCACTCCCACTGTAGCAGTGGAGCGTAGTGCAGTGGCATATCTCCGAGATGGAATAGGAAACAATAGCTTCCGAGCCTCAGGATAAGAGATGTTATTAATAGTCTTCAAATGCTGTACCTCTTTCTCCTCCACCCACTTAGGGCAAGAATTAAAGTAAGAGGGGTGGGAACCACTACAACTAACACAGTGAGGGCCCAGTTTGCACTTGTAGGCAACAATGTGTAGCCAGGGAAATAATAAGGTGACAGATCTGATGGGAAGAAAACATGAAAAAGGTAACAATCATCAGGAGAAAGGGGAGACATATACAGGGTAAATTAACTAGCAAATGCAACCTGGAAGGGTAAGGAGAAAAAGGTCATGGAAGAGAACATGGAAGAAACAAATGGACTCAGGAACCATGGAAAGAACCAGTACATGTCATATACTATAGAAGAGCCCTGTCGAAGCAAAGGAGGCAAGCAGGATCAGAACAGTCATAAAAGTGGGAAAAAGATGAAAAGGAAAAAAATATGTGAAGGGAGAACAGCCAAAGTCTTGAGCATAAAGGAACAATCAGGAAAAAGGAAACATATAAACTATGAAAACAAAAATTCAGCAAACATCATTTGTGAACACATCAGAATGACAATAGTTGCACACCAACAAGAAAAGTATCAGGGATGTCAAGGAAAGGTGATGTAAATTTAGAATACAAAGACAAAAGATCAAATGTAGGATGGAGAAGAATGTGGAGGATCACATACAGATGCAAATCAATGGAAGCAAAGCAGGAAGGGAAAAACGGAAGTAACAAAACAACATGGATAAGACTGGCAATGGAAAATATAAACAAAGTCGGTAGACCAAAAAGTGGCAGATAACACTGTCTTATAGCCCACAACAGAGGAAACCAAAATACCCCATTCAAAATTCCAAAGCAAAAAGGATGGTATGTGAGGAACCAGAGGATGGGAAGGACAGTAACCCCTTAGGACAAAACAAAAGTAGTATGTGTACCATGTATATAGGTAAACCACAATGGAGGAAAAATAAACAGGACAGAAAACAAAGGAAGCTACATGCAAAAATATGGCCCTGAGGGACCAGACAAAGTCACATGTGAAGACGGAGTGCAGGTATGGACAGATGATGGATGCCAGAGTGTGGCTGATGGAGGAATGTTGGAGATAAAGGAAGAGAAAGGGAGGTGACATCAAAGCAGTGGAAACCACATGTGAGCTGGCCAATATACAGCCACCAGCAGAACATGACATGAAGTAGTCTGAAGTATGACAAGGACACGCGAGAAGAAATGGATAGGAGGATATGCACACAGGTAACAGCCCAACCAATCCTGATCGAGCATCCAAATCTGGGACATCCCATAGGGCAAACAAAACCCTGAAAACAGGTAGATCTGAAGACCACTCCAGAAGGGAGAATTTTGTCAGGATGGGATAACCAATTCTGGGCACTCAGATTATGACATGCCAACAAAGTGATAGGATGGCAGTGGACTGTTGACCAAGTGCTTCTTGCCCAGTGATGTACAAGACTACCAAAGAAACTTTGGAGTGAGCCATTAACCAACTGGCCACTAGGAGCCCACAGGAAGTAAGGGAAAGCTCAACATACAGCAACTTCCAAGAGATTGATATGGAGAGAGAGTACTTGGGAAGGGACCATAACCCTGAAACCTCCTGAGTGTCAAGATACACCCAACCAGAAAAAGAAGCATCCACAAAAAAGGAAATTCTGGATGAGAAGGAGGAAGAGGAATACCCACAGTAGTATTATGTGATCTAATCACCAGTCAATGTCAGTCTGTAAGGAATGGGGAAGGGTAAGAGGGGCATTTAAGGGATCCCAAACAAGGCTTCATTGGCTTATCAAAACTCACTGACAATGATACATAAAGTTGCAACCAAGAGACATGAGGGCTTCTCTCGAAGCCCTTTTCCCCAAAAGAGGGAGAACCTCTGATGCAATAGAAGAACAAGAGGATGAGATGCTGCATACAAGACATTCCATAGCTCGCAACCGAAGTGGAGAAGATAGGGCCTGATAGAGGAGGGAGTTGAAAAACACCTTGAGGTGAACCAAAAAAAATTGTGTGGGTGGGAGGAAAAAGTGTTCCATTTTGACACTCCAACCCACTATGACAGTGTCCTGGAGAATAAACTGAGGACATAGGACTAAGTCATCTTGTGAAGAAAAAGAAGCAGCCATATGTCCATAGAACGGTGGAAACAAAGGCTCCTGGAATGAATCAGGTGGGAAAAAAAAGAGGATTCCAAGGAGAAGGAAGGGAAATAGGATTGTGAGACAATGGGGAGAAAAATGGAAGTAGAGAACCAGACTTACTGAAATCACTTTCAGAAGCTATGGATTGACCACCCTAAATGTGAGCAAATTGAAGAAGGATGGCTCCCCCACCAGCCCTGACCCAAGAAGGGTGGTCAGAGTAAGACAAGTATGGGAAAATGTAACCAAATTATCAGGGTCCGATCCCCACTAAGGGAGAAGCAACACTAAATGCTGCGAGTCCAAATAAGAGAAGTTTGAATGATTATAATCAAAAACATGATCATCCACAGTACATGGATGTTGAGGCATACAGATTCCCAAATGCAGATGTTCCCCAAAATGACTCTCATGAACACCAATATCAAGAGAATGGGAAATCACTAAAATAATGACCCAAAGGCTACTCCCCACAAAAGTAAGGTGTGAAACATAGGAAATGGGAGATAAGGACAGAACACAACATATCTGAATTATCAAATACACCAATAGGAAAAATGTCTGGGCAAATTCTCCAAAACAACATGCGATTGAGAAGCATACTTAAGAGGGGGAAAAGGGCTGTCCAAATCTTAAACTTCCTGATTATTGAAAACCATGATAGGACAATCATCAGTTTGATCTGATTGTTGCATGAAATTGGTTAACTCCCGACAAACCAGAGACTTCACTTCATGAGTTGAGAATCATGGAACTGACCAATTTGGCATGGTCAGTAATTCCACTGCAGCAGTTGTAGTCATGACCACCTGAAACTGTGAGTGCATAACTCATAAAATGGAAAGAGGAGAGAAATAAAATAATTCATATTTCTCTACAAAAGAGAATGAAAACAGTAAAACACAAAGTAATTAAAGTAGTAAAAAAATTACAAAAGGAAAAACTTGTCTATTCAATAAGACTGCCAATCGAGAAGTGATTAACAGCTGCAAGGCAAGATTAGAGATGGCGCTAGTTATGGTATGAGTAGCATCACACTCTTATTCATGGAGGGTTTGCCTGTTAGTATGCAGAGATAAGTGGGAGTATCAACGAGCGTTGCAAGCAAAAATGTGCACAGACAGAGGGCAGTATAAGTCAAGAAGAATTTTTGAAAGTGGAGGTAAGATGTCTTATTGGAAATCTACACTATTATCCATACAATAGGGTCATTCTGCTAGTAACTAAATAACATATGAAAATTTATTTTAATAAGGCATAGGAAAATATTGTAAAAGAACTTTCTTTCCAAAGTGGTGGTGTAATCTAAAATATTTATATTAAAATCTAAATATAACATTCATACTTATTTCAGATTTGTTGATTATTACCAGTACTACTCGTCTCTAAATGCTTTTTTAGATTAAAATACTTAGAATGGATGGAAAGGAAACTTGCAGAGTCTACAAAAAATTGTCTTTTTCTTCTAACAATTTAATTTTATATATCACAACAAAAGCACCAAAAAATGCCAGATTTAAAAAATGAATGCCATAAATGGGAATCTGGGCTGTCACATTTCATTATTTTGAGCTGTAATTCATGAACTGTTCATCCTATGTACTCGTGTTATGTGTTGCATTAAAAATTACTTTTGTTCAGCATTGGATTCACATATTTTGCTGTCAACCTCATCAGCTCCTTATTCATGGCATTAAAGTAATGAAAACAAAACAGTTTCTAATCTCCAACCCTTCATATGGCATTGATCTCTGGGGGCTACCCAAATAACTCTATGAAATTTAATTGAAATTGGTTCAGTCACTTCATCACAACAACTTGTGACACCAGACAGATGGAAAAATTACTCTGCTTTATGTATACAGTTTGTTAACAACTATGAAATTGTTACAATGACTAGACCTGAATGGAAAACCCATGACTCATATACACAATATAAATTCATTAACCTACTTTTGTTAGTCATTACAATTGAGAATAATTAACAAGGTAAGGTATTGTAAATACTTAAGAAAACTGGTTATCGTTTTCTAGTTTTTGATGCACTTGAAACACTTAAAGCATTTCTTATGAAACTTTACAAATGGGATTTATCAATATTATGCACCAGAAACCTTTTTTATATCTTCTATCATGATACCATAAAGCAACAAGAATACAACATAGAAAAGTACACATGTACAAAAACATTGTGTACTACAGGATATCAACATGAACTTCATAAAAGTTAAATACTTGCCCTCTCCTGGCCAGCAGTGTCCCAGATGTTAAACTTGTAAGTGTGACTATCTTCATGAAAATTTTTTGTCATAAATGAAGCACTGTTAATAAAAGTACAAAAATATTATTAATAATATATGTTTCAGTCACTATCACAATTCAAAATTCAAACACTTAAATGAGAGATTGTATTTTTTTTTATTTATCATCAATTATCCTCTGAATACTTATTTATCCAAAATGTAGGCAAGACCAATATATATTTTTTATGCAATCAACCTTATAATCTTAACAGCTTTGAATAAAAACATGAGCTATAACAATTAAAAGATTATTTCAAGTATAAGGTTGGTAACATAAAAAATACATTGACCTCAATCTTGGTCTTGACAAACACAGTCTAAGTTTGCTTGATCTTGGTCTCACCTACCTGGTCATGATTATATTTCTGGTATTTTTAAGTTTAGAGCTTTTTTATTATTTGTGTCAACTGAAATAAAAAAGTAAATCCTACATATTTATGAACTGTACATGATTATGCAAAATACTTCAAAGTATTTTGGTGTGATATTTATGCAGCCTTGTTAGCTCGTTAAAAGGATCTGGAATGTTTATAGGTTTTAAAACTCCCAACTCCTATTTAAATTTATCATAAAGCTTATTTGTTCTTGTAGTTAAGCACAAAGCTACACAATGGGCTATCTATGCTGTGCCCATCAAGAGTAATGAAAACCAATTTGTAGCATTATATGAACACAAACATTCCGCCGAGCTGCTAAGGGGGGGGGGGACTATCACAAAGTGCTGAAGAAGTTTAGCAAGGAGTTTGTAAGATCCTTAACAGTTATTTCTTAAAAAGTACCCGACATCTTAAAAATATTTCAAATGATTGGAAGACTGACAATGAATTTTTTTGAAGAAAAAAAGACTAAATGTGTATGAAACAAATTAAAACTATTAATTTAACCTCTGCCATTAAGATGGAATTTATCATCATATATTAAACTTAAAAAGCTTTTGTAGAAGAAAGCATTTTTCTTGCCTTTTAAGCTTATTATCAATTTCTTTTACAATTTTTTTGTTTCTGTTGATGGAATCACCATGTTTAAAGTTTATCTTTATTTTCAAAAACCTTTAGTAAGGTGATGCACAAGATATTATCAGAAAATTAGTTTTGCATAATTCAGCCCTTAACTGTTTCGAAATGTTTGACTTTATTGTGAAACTAGATGAAAATCACTTCTTCATCTGTCACTTTTCAGCAGCATCACTTCAAAATAAATGGTATAATTGTTTACATTAATGGCATATAATGTGCATGTGTACTTCATTATCTCACTTCCTCTATCAGTTGGTATACTAAACTTTTTGTAACATACACTTGTAGTTTGACTATCCATTTGATCAAGCACAATGATAATTTTATTGCATAAAAACAAATGTATCATGATACTGGGAGGATAATGCATACACATGAACCACTTGAAAATTACAATAGTATGAGAAATGTAAAATGTGGGTTATATTATAATTTGTCTCATTTTGTATAAAAAAAATATTTTATTACTTAATAATAACAATACATTCTCATACCAATGATGTTCAATTTTTGTCTTTAAAACATATAACATCAGTAAATTATTTGAATTAATTACTAGGACATTCCTCAACGTTAAAAATATTTTTGTATTGTTTGGTTTAAATCAACACACAATAATATAGAATTTTCCATCTCAACAATGTTTTAACTTCTGGTCTTGAATCATTATCTATTCTATCAGTTGTAATGCAAAGTATTATTTTCTTATATTCTTAGTTTTATTTATAAATGTTAATGATTTTAGCCTAAAAAGCAGTCAAATCTATGAAACCAGTTTTAAAGATTGTGTTATAAACAATTTTACAAGTTGAAAGGGAGAATAAAACAAGTTTTTTCATGAAAAAATATGTAGGTTACTCTGTGAACTATAATATCCACAGAAATGAAATACGACTTGTTAAAAAAATGTCCTCATATATAGTTCAGCAAGTGTAATATAATCTCACTGCAACACATCATTAAAATTATTACATTTATATTTATACATATTATAGCTGCCTGCATTTTTAAATACACAATGTTTACACTGTTGGCAAGAAAAGTCTTAATGCCACATATAGCTCTTCAAAAATTGACTTTTTATATATTATATACATGTATATACAGTATATAATCTTTCTTCAATCCTTTATCTCTAAAGTAGAAATATCCATGCTCATTATCTTAGACATTTCTGAAGAGAACCCACTGTACTGTGAAGAGTAGTGTGAAAGTGTTCTAGTGTTAACCAATGCAATCTAGTCAGTTGCCATTGGCCATGTGAACATAGGTCTCAAATTATATTTAACTCCACCTTTTGCAATTAATCAAGTAGATGACAATACTCACCAATACTAGGGATTGTAGACTCCAGGTCAATCACTAACTACAATACCAGAAGACCATGTAACTACTGTTGAATAACAAAGGACAAGAATGAGGTTATGAAATACAAATGGGATACTGAAAAGTGCAGAGAAAAAAAAAGCCATTTTCTGCAGCTTCCTCATATACTCCACTAATCAAATTCTTACTGAGAAAGTCAAAGACACCTGAGGATCAAGGGCTTGATGTGAATGACAAGTTTGCAAGTAAAGCATCAATGAGTGGATCAAAAGTGGCATCTGAATGGGGCTCTTCCTCCCCAGATACATATTGAAAGGTCTGTTGTAAGTGACTAAGAGATCTCTGATACTGAACATAAGGACACATTAAATGATAGTAAGTATGTGAGAAGGATGTGGTATTTGAACTTAATACACAGGAACTGTATCCAACAGATTCCTACCTTGTTTTTAAAGATCAGCTTCAGATGCATGTAAGTGTCATCATGTATGCTCTAATCCAACTTAGCCCATGCTAGCTTGGCATTAAAGAGAGCTATTCAGACTTTCCTTATGACAACAATAATCGATGAGTTAATGTTTGTCATATAGGCAAGAAACAAGTGGCAACTGTACTATAGATAGTCACAAAACAGTTTACTCAATAAAGTTAGGCCACTTATATTGCTTCTGTTGTTGACTTTTTTTGTAGACAGAAAAAGTAAACATTATTCTGACACTTGGGTTAATCCTAATCACAGATTTTCATATATTTTCATAAATATAAAAATGGATAAAAAAAGCATGAACAATTCTTAATTCCTTGCAAAGCTGAAAAAATGCTTCTCATGACTAAGTACTAGAATAACACAGATCACAATGTAATTGCACAGATGGTAAAAGCCAATAGAGAATACACAGTGAAGAACTGTCAAAAAATGAAAAAGCCTGAAAATACTACCGCATTCTTAACCACATAGAGTTTGGCCTTTAAGAAGCCATATGGAATAAGCTGTATTAGAGACATAAACTAACAAGGGCAATTTTCTGGAACTGTTAAAACTAATGTTGAATGATAACTCTTTTCTTGGACCAGCATTTGAAAATCTTTAACCTAAAGCAAACATACCTAAGCCACCACACAGACAATGAGTTAATATCATCTTTCTCACACAAGATACTTTAAAATTTATAGTTAAAAAGGTCAGGCATGCATTTTTTTTATTGGATCATGGATTACACAATTGATATTGCCAGTGTGGACCAGTTTTTCTTATCACTGGGGTATCTAACTAAAAAAACGGCATGGTGTTGAACACAATAAAATTTAATAAACTGCTTAGTAACAGTGCTGAGGCATTTTATGACTTACTGATATGTAACTTAATGTAACTTCATACATGGACAAACTTAGAGCCAGGACTATGTCTGCCCACCTTATAAGGCTCTAAGCAAGATTCAAGGAAGGCTGTAGCTCAAGGGCAATGTTTGTTCATTTCTGAGTTTACAACTTGATTTTGATTCTAACTGATGGAGACTCTGCTTCCACCAGCACACTAAACTCTATAGAAACTACTACTTTCTGAAATCAAGTGTGCTAAGAAGTATAATTTTGGAAGAAGAATATAAAATGCCGAATGGTACTGTTTGTACCTTAAAGAGGTTGTTCGATACAAGATTGGCATCAAGAAAGCAAGCTGACAAGGCAGTGCTGCTGAGGCTCAGGGGTTGTTTGAATTTAAGTTTATGTTAACCTTTTGGAACATTATCTTGAAAAAAAAATGGTTGCCTTATCAAATTATCTTCAACCAAAAATCGACTGACCTAAATACATCCCTCAAACTCATTAATACCTTTGTTACAGAGATAAAGATGTACACTAAAAAAATCCTTGAATGAGCTGGAGATACCCCCAAAGGTTTTAACCGCAGAGTTTTATACAAAAGAATTGTATCAGAAGCAAAAATAAAAGATTATAATGAAATGGCTTCAGGAGAGTTCATTACAAACAACATAGAATGTTTCAAGGTGGATACGTTTTATTGTGTGATAAAGTACTATTTTAATTTATTTCTTAAAACTAAAAGTATTTTGACCTTCAGAGTAACAACAAAGAAATTCCTGGTGCTTAATCCAAATCAATGTTTTAACTCAATAGAAAAAGTGAATAATTTGCATATTCTTAGAGTGACTATTTGGTAGTTGATGATATAACTGATGAATATTCTTGTTTTTGAGGAAACTACAAATATCTCTTTACAGGCCAGGGTGATACAGGTCTTTTCAATAATGACATTCTTCCTAATAGCAAATAACATAAAATGTACATTTCCCAACTAGTGCATTTTGTATCAAATTTATTTAACCATACCAGTAAGTACCACTCAATCAGATAAAAGCTTAAGCTGTCTCAGGTTCATTAAGAACCCCTTAAACATGTCTATGCACAAAGACAAACTTTCCACTTTAGAACTTTTGTATACTTAGTGAAACACTTTTAAAATCTTGGCTAGGAAAATGTAATAAAGAAACTTGCAAGCTCTAAACTAGGCACATGCAACTTCTTCCAGGGCGTGGGCCAGATTGCAATTTTTAAATTTAAAAAGACTGTGATTTTCTTATCTTTTAAGAAATCATCAAGAAGAGAGAAAACTACCTTGCACGCCAGATGCAATCCGTGGGCCATACAATGCACATA